GTTCCACAAATGCCTGAAAGTAAGCACAGATAGTAAAACAGTGACAACACTTACCTGACCAGAGGGATACGAAGTCATTAGAATATTAGAACGCAAACATGAAGAGACTGATGAAACACCTGATTCTAACATTACTCAAAAACCATGAGAAGCAAAAGTATGGATTCAGAAAACCTATAAATAGATAAGAATTTTCCCTTGAGCCTGAGAAATTGAATAGAAATCACACTGCAATGTTGGAAAATTCAGGTTTCCAAACAAACTGTAATAGAGTGGAAAGCCTAACAACAGACTTGGTGAGACAGAAGAAATAATCTCTGAGCTGTTAGACAAATCTTCAGAAATATTTTAGAAATAAAAGAGAAACAAGAAAAAACAGTATTTGAGATCAAAGGCATACTATCAAAGGACATAACATTGCTTGTCCTAGGATTTCCGGAAGGCACAGAAATAGTAGAATGCCTGTTCAGTGAAATAATAGTAAACTTCACGAATGTGGAGAAAAAGGGATATCCAAGTACAGGAAACACAGACATCCTAACAGACATACCACAAAGGATCTCCACCATGATGCATAATAATCCAACTTATCACCAAATCTAAATTGTGCACAAGAAAAACTGCACATTACCTTCAGAGGAACCCCAGTTAGACTGACAGCTGATTTCTCCTGAGAATCCCTGCATACTATAAGAGTGGAAGGATAAACCCTGTATTCTAAAAGACTGCATCCTGCCAAGCTCTCATTTATAAATGAAGATGAAATAGATACACCCCCCCCAAAAAAAAATTTAAGTGATGTTTAAGGATGTGCTACACAGAGATTGAGTGATAGTTTTCATTACAAAAGAATGACTATGGAGATAATCCCCTGGTGCAACCCTGAAGAAAAGCAAATGATACGATCATCTATGGAAAGAAATGGCAGGCTTGGTTTTCTTATCAACGCAATAAATGATGGTAAATGATCTAAAATATTTCATTACAGGATTGTCAGAATGGATCAAAAATAGAACCCATATATTTACAGTGAAAGTTACAGAATGAAGATAGTCCAAACTATCCTAGTCAGACAAAATAGAATTCAACACAAACTGTCAAATGATATTAGGGCATTACATAATGATTAAGAGATTAATTTGATAGGAAGACTTAGTAAATTTATATACATCTAAGCCCAGGGCACCTAACTGGCTATTTTAAACAGATAGTAATTGATCTAGGGAGACTACACTCCAGTATAATGATAAAGGTAGCACTTAAACATCTGAGTCTCGTTAGCAAATAAACAAAAAAATCAAGATAGAAACAACAGAGCTAATCTATACTATGGACCAACTGACCATCACATCTACAGAACATTTTATCCCTCAGATGCAGAATACACCTCATTGTCTTGAGTGTCTGGAGTGAAGCTATTTCTAGGATATACCATATGCTAGAGCATTAAGCAAATTTGTTCAGATTCAGAAAAATTGAAACCTTACCATGTATTATGCCTGACCACAACTGGAATGAGCCTGCAAATTAATAAGAAACTAGAAAATGTCAACTGGATGGAGTTCATGGAGACTAAGTGGAAAAAATGAAGCGTGAATAAATGTAATAAAAGCATTCTTGCGAATGACAAAGATGACAGTACAGCATAGCAAAATCTGATACAGAGAATGCAGCGTTAGGAGGGAAACTATTCACAGTGTACATATTCAGTGTGATCCCAATCAAAATATCAACAATCTTCAGAGCTTTAAAAAAAAATGCCATGATCCATAGGGTAACAGCAGTAAAAGTTAAAGCAAAAAAGTGTGATTAAAGCTATAGAGATCACAATTCCTACTTTTAGGACATGACTGAGCGCAGAAATAACCAACACAGCCAGCCCTGGTCTCTGGAGGGAGGACAGTCAGGAAATGGTCCTGTGAAATTTAGATCTCCACATGCAGAAATGTAAAACAAGATGCCTAACTTACACCCTATCCAAAAATCAACTGAAAGTCTGTGAGGAACCCTAGTCTCCAACCTCGTAACCTAGCACTAGAAGAAAGCAGCACGGGGAAAGTCTGTAATATAACGGCATATACACCCGGGACACGGGTACCTACGGCGAAAACAAATGGGATTACATGAAGCTAAGAAGATTCTGCACTACAAAGGAAACCCTCAACACACTGAGAGGCAACCAGCAGAATGGGGAAAATATTTGCAGGCTAAGGAAATGATAAAGGGTTACTATCCAGATTCTGTGAAGAGCTCCAGAGGCTCAACAAGAAAACAACCCAGTTAAAAAGGAGTCAAAGCCATGAACATGCGTTGTTCAAAGGATGAAATTCAAATGGCCAACAGGCACATGAAAAATTCCAGTTATGATTGGAAATGCAAGTAACAACTATATTGAGGTTCACCTCACTCCAGTTAGAATAGCAGTCATTCAGAAATCTTAATGGATCTTTCATTTTACAGTCAAACCTAAGTAGTCTAAGAGCAGGTGGAAACAGAAGAGAGTGGAGTGCCAAGTATCATTATGCTCCTAATTCTGTATTGTGAAATACATGAAATTTTTTCACCTTAAATTAAAAAAAAAAAAATCTAATCCCTACCCATTTACTAAGATGATGGAGTTAGTAGAAGAATTTGGCCTTAATGAGAAAAATAAACACAGTCAGTCTTTTTTTGCCTCTTTGTATAAAGAACCCCTCATATATGCATCCCTGCTATACTCCAAGCAGTGATTAAGTTAGATACTATAACGAAGTCATTGTTTGACTACAGAGGGGAGCTTCTGGGCGTATTTGTGGTGTTTCTGCTGGACTCTCTGAGCTCTTTGTATGCACTTCACCAGCCTTGCCCAGCCGATTGCATCTTACACTGCTTCCTACATTGAAGCATGTATGTATTCAGTTCAGAATAAGCTGCTCAGACTATGAAGTGTTAAGCACAGATTACTATCAACTACAGTCTGATTTTCACTGTACAGACTAATATTGTCCAAACATAAGCTGATGACAAAACCCAGGACAGCATCTTACTAAGGAAACAGAATTACACTGAAAGCACAGATTAGGGGAATAGATTCAGCTTTTAATATGTGACGGGTTTTATTGTTTGAGTGTGATTTAGAACATTTATGAATTCCTTTGGATCATTATTAGGAAAAATAATATCCAGGAACTTTTAGAAACTCGAATCTGTAACACTGGTAGATTGTAATACAACAGTATTAGATAAGGAGATGTAAAAATATATATGTCACATCTTGAATTATAAAAATAAATCACTAATCCCTTGAGTTATGATACCAACATGAAACATTCATATTGAAACATACTTGGAGCATTTGTTATTTATATAATCAGTAAAAGTCAAGTTGATATACTGAATGATTACCTAGAGAATAACCATCCATAATTTTCTACAAATCTTTTAACTGGCACAACTACACTTTTATACTTTTCTCCTGTCCAATACATGTTAAATACATGAAAAATCATTTTAAACATAAAAGAACAGGATAATAAATGCACCTATTCATCATTTCATGTAGTTGATTTATTCAGTTCATGATATGTATATATAATGATATAACGTGACTGCTATTACACATTTTAAAGTAATTAACTGCCTCCATTTAGAAAAGCCCTAGAGTTAATAAAAAGCAAAATTAGTTTTTTTTAATTCAGAAAATATTTAAGAGCTTTTTATTCCTAGGAAATTTAACAAAATATAGATAGGAATATAAAATTATCTTCTAGGGGTAGAATAATATATTTTCATGAGGGGTTTTTTTTTTTTACAATTAGATAACCTTTATCACTCTAAACCACTAAAACTAAAATTTGGGAATTTGCCAAGCATCCACTTGACATAAAAAATATATATATGAACCCTCAGTTTCAAACTCGCAATTTTACTAATTGAAGTTTATGTTAAAAGTTTACTAAAACATTTCAGCAATTATTTACTTAAAACATAGAATCCTGAGAATGCAGTAGTAACACTGGAGAGAACTTTGGAGATCATTCAAATCTAGTCTTATTGTTCCCTGGTGATTAAACCACAGTGCAGAATAACAAAGCACTAAGTGTTCATGCTATTATAAACAAAATAGTAAATCTGCTATTTTGAACAATTTTTCCACAACATGATTTTTTCATCTGTACTTAACCACTAATGCCATGTTTGTTGCAATATTTCAAAAAAATATAGTTCATCTCCCATATGCAATCAGGAATCACAAACACTTACAACATATTAACTGAAAGCTACAGTTATTAAAAGCCCAGCAAGCATTAAAAATAGTGCTTTTCGAAGATAAACTTACAAATTTAGTCTGTCAGAAAGTTTTAAAAAGTTAAATGTTCTTTTAGGTGGACTTAAATTGTAAGAAAATCTAAATGTGAATTTTATTTGGTGCCACATTCGAAAAACAGGTAGATTTTCACAATATGCATTTTCCATAAACTATTTTAACACCTTTCATGTTTCTGTTTATAGAACCATCTGTAGTGTTTAATCAGAATTTAATACAGATTTTCTTAGGAGTCATACATCTGCTTCTTTTGGTTATTTAAGAAACAAATTATAGAATCTTAGACCAAGTGTTTGACACTTTTATATAAATAGGTCAATTAGAGATTCACTATTCAGAAAAATTTTGTGATGTTCAAGTGACTCAGCTTTAATATTCATCATTCATTTTCCTTTATATCTACTGCATTATTTTAAATGCCGATTGAAATGTTGTTCTTGGTAGCCCACAAAGGAAAAGGCATTTCTGTACATTTAAACACCACAGATTCACCTTATAAACTTTTCTCCCCCTGCACCCTGTTCTCACTTAGCCTTTCCTTATTCTTGGAAACACGTTAGATGTATTGCCCTGAAATCTAAACTAGAATTGTATGAATTAATGAAACTTTTATGTTTACATGTATTTAGAATGGAATTACAAAAGCACTTTGCATTTCTTCATGTTTAGCAGATTTTCTTTCTTTCTTTTTCAGCTTTTTAATTAAGTGAAACCAAGTGGGATTTGAGTAAAGTGAATGTTTACCATGAAGATAAACTGTTCCTGACCTTATACTATTTTGAATTCATGATTTCATGTATTGTTGATTGTGATAAGTTAGCTTATTCTTGTATATTGTTTTTTTTAAACTGTGGGGTTTTTTTGGTATGTTTAATTTATAGTAATGAATAGCAACATTTTTAAGTGTTTTTTAGCATACTAAATTCAGTGTATGCCACAGATGGAAATAAATGACAATGTAACTACGAATTCATGTTTTAGAACTGCTCACTCATTAGTAAAGGAACCACACTGTTAAAGGAAACTTATGCAATATGTGTTTAAGAATTTTGAGTATTGTGAGCGGATAAAGCCTCTGCATGAGATGTGCTGTTGAAAATTATACTTATTGCGGTTTCAGTTATAAAGGACGTGCACTGTTACAAAATAGTGTTTTGTTATTATTCATCAGAATTACATGAAGCTGTATAGGACAAGAATCTGAATGAATAGTATCTGCAGCTTAGTTTCTGAACCTATGCCTGGGAGCTTTTTTCCTCAGATTGTAAGATATCCATGAGATTTATTGATGAAGAAAGTAGGGAGTGGAAACAAAAGCAAATTCAAATCCTCTCATGCATAGCAGTGTGACCCCAGGCATCCATGTTACTAAAACCAACCAACACATAATGGACACGTTAAGTTTTATGGAAGAAATTAAATTCAAAGCCTCATTCTCATAATCCAGACCAAAGATTAGTCATCCTTGAATGAACAATTCAGACTTTCTTGAAAACCACCAAAATATTGGACTACTGTTTCAGCATAAAAAGCACTCTCACACACATGATGATCATGTATCTCACAACCCTATGAATTTACATGTAATTTCATCTCGTTTGTAGAAATAATGGTAGCTGTATAACAAAAAGGGAAACTACATAGGTTAACTTGGCTTTCAAACTCTGCAGACTGGTATTTTATAGTGCTACAAAAAAGTGCGTTCAGAAGGCTTTAGTTCAACACATTGTTCAAAGGGTTACTATTTAGTTTTCATTGAGAACCGAGTAACATATCATCAGGCATTATGCCCACTGGGAAGTCTACCTGTAGAGTCTCTACCAAGAACCAGGTGACCATCAATGGATTTCCTTAAGCTGAGCCTCCAGAGTGGAAAATCGGAAACCCTGCTGGAGCATGTTGATCAAGTTTCCAGAGTAACGGCTGTGCTAGCAAGTTGAACGCCATCTTTGCAACTGAGTCTATTCAAAATAACATTAATTTTCCTAATTCTTGTCCTTAGGTAGGTGAGCACAACCATTTGTTTTAATGCCTGTCACTTTAGATTTTTTGTTTTAAATTTACATAACTATAAATGTGATTATCCAAGTTCCCAGGCACCTTCCATCCCATATGCCCTGTCAGTATCTCGCAATAATTTGTCACAATAAACCACATTTAAAGAAAAATTCCCAATTATCACTCTACTTGTCAAGTATTTTCACATTCCCTAAGGTTTACTCAGGAATTGGAAAGTGACAGGGCCTGGCATTTTGGCACAGGTTAATCTGCTGCTTGAAACGCTGGTATTTCATATGGGAGTGCCAGTTCAGAATCTGGGTACCTCGCTTCCAATCCAGTCCTGTTGATGCACTTGCGAAGGCAGGAAAGGACAGCCCAAGTGATTGAGCTCATGCCAGTGGCAAGGATGAAATTCCTGACTCCTGGCGCCCAGCCCTGGTTGTGACAGCCATGTAGGGAATGAATCTGTGGAGGAAGTTTGTTCACTCACTTGCTCATTCAGTTTAAAAAAAAAATGTTTATTTCTGGAAATCCAAATGGAGTTTGAAGCCAAATTGTACAGTTAATAACACTGTTAACTATGTTTTACACCCTAGAATGTAGGTAGGCAGTTGATGAAATTCCACTGGTAAGATATCTGGTCTCTTTAAGATGTAATAGTACTTAATGATTACAAGTGCCTGGTGATCCTCAAGACACTGAAAACTGCAACAGAGAATACTCTGCATCCCACATGAGGAAAAGTTCTCTGGTCTACATTCAGTCATTTCCTCTGCACCCTGAAATAATTTCAATAGTCACATTTCTTCCAGAATTTCAGGACCTAAAAGCCAGCAGCTTCTCTGCAGACACTTCTTCAGTTTAGGGACATAACTTTCAAGGTAAGTAGAACTTGTACATTTCACAGATAAACCTAAGAAATGTAACTCAAATATCATTTCCTTATGGATTCTAATCTTGCAAAAAAAAAAAAACCCAAAAGGTTTACACAATATGATCTCTTCAACTTTGTGACAGTATCAATTGTTCAGTTCTTACAATTTCACTTGCTGATGGGTCTCCATTGTATTCAAAATTGATGAGAATTAGTTTAACACTCAAAGTTCTCTACTCACTTGAAGAGTTAAAACCCTAACTTTAAAATTTGATCCAAATGAATTTTAATATATTCTTCAATATAATGTAGATTGAATAACCTGTTAGCTATTCACAACAAGAAAAGTGTTAGGTACTCTAACTGTATCATACACATTTATATCCCTCACTTGTCATTACAGCCCAAGCATAATCATTTGGGGAGATTTGAACTTGCTATAACTTTAGGGTTTGACAATTATTTCGTTCTTTGTTATTATGAGAACCTTCCTTGTGCTAGATGAACCTCCCTCGAGCTAACAGCTATTCTGTTCTAAACAGGGCATAACATAACACTGTTCAGAGATAAATAACATTATGTTGTAAGAATTACTTGTGACATATGCATTAACTGTCACACCTCGTAGAAAAATATTCATTGGGCTGTTAGCAGTGTTTCTCAGAGTCCAAAATCTCATTAATTTTAAAAACTTGAAGCAGTATCTCTTATGCTTCAATGAAAATCTATGTGAGGTCAAATCTTGATTTTTTCTAGTACAGGGGGAAAGGTTCAACACTGCAGCGGGGGGCTCCACCCACCCAACTCCCAGTAGTACCTGGGCAGAGCAGTTCATCCCATGGGGATCTTGAGAACTGAACAAGTGGACTTTTACATTATTAATAATCTTGGGAAGCAGCCAAGCCACCTTCCTAGATGGGCTCAGCCTGCTGTAGCCCCCAGGAAGTTGCCTAATGACACTATCCAGCATCCAGCATCCAAGAGGCACTCAATTGAGTAGTCTATTCTCAGAAGTTTGGTCTGCTGAGGCTCTAAGAAGCCCATTGACATACTGCCCCCTGAGAATAGATTATCTTCATGAAACCCTGGGAGGTCACTCTGGTTTCTGCTAACTGCAGGTGCCTCATCTTTCCTAGAGGTGTGACTCTGCCACCACGAAATACTCTCACACGGAAAGGCACAGTGTACTTCTACCAGGCACCTCAGGCCACCACAGCCGCCCTAACCATACTAACACCAGTAAGTACTCTACACCAGTAAGTGAGTGAGTCACTTAAGACAGCTATATCCTAGTTACATAATCCCACTAATTCTGCACCATAGACTTTCTGCACAAATCATTGCTGATTTCAGATAAAGCAGCTACACAGATGGCATGAAAGCGCCCACTTGAAGGCATCAGCAGAGTTCTTTTTGCAGCCAACATGAGATTGGTAAAGGCAACTGACCTGCCAGGTGAACAAAACCAGTATTGGATACAAGAGCCATTTTACATCTGAAATAAATAATAGACCCCAAAAGAAATCTGTCGATTTGTCAAAGAATGCAAAATCTCAACTTTGAAAAACATGAAAAAACGAAAAAGCTTAATGAAATTAAGGTAAATTATGGTTTGAATAAGAAATTCAGGGAAGATCACCCACTACAAATAAAAAGAAAACCAAGGAGCTGATGAACTAAAAAACTGAACAAAACATATAGTAGAAAGCCTCTAAATAAAACAGACTAACTATAAGAACAAATTCTGAATTCAAATACCTCATCAGACAAGAAAACAAAAGGAGAAACAATAAACCTTTTGGAATATATAAAGCACCAAATAAGCAAACCATTTTATGGCTTTTCAGGAGAAAAGAAGTGAAACAGCAAGTACAACTCAAAAAAAAAATTACTGAATAAGTTCCCCAATTTTAGGAAAAATAGGGATAAGCTGGTCTAGGAAGTGCGAAGAGCTCTGGATCTCATCAGCCAGAGACCTTACTCTACTCATGTTCTATTAAGAATGTCAAAACACGAGACAAAAGGAACTGCAAAACTCAAGACAGGAGTATCAATCCACATGTAAGAATCTCTTATTCACAGCAGACTTCCCAGTAGAACCTTTCAGGCTAAAAGAGAATGGGATGATGGCAAATTCTGAAATGAAAGTAAAAGTGGCAACTAAGAATACTATACACATTTAATTATCTGCAACAATAAAGGACAAATAAAAGACTTTCTATGACAAGAAACATTAAGGCAACTAATTACCATGTTAGCCATGTAGGAGATGTTTGAGGGAGTCCTACATCAGAAGCAAAACGGTAACTCATGGCATGAAATTGAAAAACTACAAACTTCTGTGGGACCACACAGGAAATAACATGAAAACTTTAAGCACAAAACCACCAGACCACAAACTAATGAATGATATGCAGAAGGAATACACAAAAAAAGGAGTGAAATGACAGGCTTATGATTTATTCTTCAGTTGTTAACTTGAACATAAATGGATTTCATTTCCAGATCGCCTGTATGTACTGATCAAACATGAAAACTAAGGTCCTACAATATGCTTTAGAACAAACTTACTTCACTAGTGAATACACACATAGGCAGGAGTTGAAGGGAAGGAAATAGTGTATTACACAACTAGCAATCAAAAACAAACAGGAATGGCTTTACTCCTATCTTGAATTTTATTTGAAAAACTGTAAAAAGGGGGTGAGGTCCATTATGTGGTAAGGAGAGAATTGAAGAAATAGCAGTTGAAGACTCATACATACTGAACTACTACTTGTATGTAGCGAATTTTATATCTGAAAAAGGTTGCAACATCAGAATTTATACCACGGGCAAAATGGAATAAAAATCACTTTTGGAACATTTCATCTAATGGTGCATGAGACACATCCTTTTCATCCTCACATGAAACATTCTGCAGGATAGACCATATGTTTGGTGACAAAAAGCATCAACAGTAATAAACATTGTTAGGATAATATGTTATCTTGGAACAAAACTTATACCAAGAAATTCTGTGTCTAAGTCATTCCACTTGAGTTGTCACATATAGATTGAGGAATACAAATGTACCATTTGGAAGTTTGC